CCTGGAGTGAAATGTCAGGGTCTTTTGATATGTCCACCTTCAAATTTACTAACATGTGGTCTCATCGCCCTACTTACCCTAGCAGACACCTATAGGGGAGGCCGTTTCAGTCTAGCCAGCACCCAGCCAACCTGTCCGCCTGACCGGAGATGCAAAGCAACCCAAACAAGACGAGCCAAACCCAGGCCAGACCAGAATAACTCCCTCCCCAGTGGATCCCAGAGGTGTTAAGTTTTGGAGTTGTTTATTATGCAGCAATAGAAAACAATGAATTTAGAAACTTGCTTTAAAATTTCAAAAAATAGAGGCGACCCGAGGTGGCACAGTGGTTAAGTGCCCATGTTCCACTTCTTGGCAGCCAGGAGTTTGCTGGTTCGGATCCCGGGTGCGGACGTGGCATCACTTGTCCAGCCATGCTGTGGTAGGCGTCCCACATATAAAGTAGAGGAAGATGGGCACAGATGTGAGCTCAGGGCCAGTCTTCCTCAGCAAAAAGAGGAGGATTGGCAGCAGTTAGCTCAGGGCTAATCTTCCTCAAAAAAAAAAAAAAAAGATTATTGTTGTTTTAGACATCTGCCTGTTGTTGATTTCAAATTTGATTTCATTGTAGTCAAAGTCATAATTTTCACAAGACTAAGTCTTTGAAGGAAGTTGACACTTGCTTTATGGTCTGGAATGCGAGGTGTTGAACTGCAGCCGAGGGGCCAAATGTGGGTAGCTGCTTGTTTTATAAATAAAGTTTTATTGGTATACAGCCACACTCATTTGTTTACATATTATCTATGGCTGCAAAAGCAAGAGTTGAGTAGTTGTGAGAGAGACCATACAGCCCTCAAAGCCTAAAATGTTTATTATTTGGCCCTTTACGGAAAAGGTTTACCAAACGCTGATCTAGAACATAACTACTTTATTTGTGTTAAAAAATACACATTCTCTAATTCATGGGCATTGAGTTTATATTTACATGAACTTGTTTAATTGTGTTCTTCAGATCTATGTGTTCATTGATTTTTCTGTCTCCTTGATTTAAGGGTTACTGAGAGGTATATTAAAATCCTTCACTGTGACATGAGTTTTTCAATTAATCCTGCATTGCTGTCAATTTTAGCTTTCTGTATATTTTGAGTCACGTAACTAGGTCCGTACAAATCCAGGATCATTATGCCAAGCTCACCAGCACCCACGCTCGTAGGTGCAGTGCTGGTCCTCATCTCCGCTTCCTTGGACCATGGCCGACAGCAAGCGCACTTTCACTTACGTCAAGCCTGGTGGCGTCTGGCAGAACCTGGTAGGAGAGATCGTCAAGAGTTTTGAGCAGAAGAGATTCTGCTTTGTGGCAGTGAATTTTCTTAAACTGTCTAAAGAACATTCAAAACAGCATTGCAGTGACCTGAAAGACAGACCTTCTGAAGGGCATGTGCTCAGGACCAGTCGTGACGATTGTCTGGGAAGGGCTGAATGTGGGGAAGACAGCGTGGAACCATCGCATTTAAGTTGGCAGGAACATTATTTATGGCAGGGCTTCTTTAAAAATGGTTAGGAAACATTTTCTCGGGGGCCTTTCTTCCTCCGCGAATAGGAGTTTTCTCACTGTCCTTTTCGTGGGCCAGGTGCTGTCCTGGTTCCCCTCTTTGCTAAGAATGCAGCCTCCTGCTCCCTGCTGTATACCTTCAGGATACTACGATTTGTGTCCTGTCACCTACACAGCTATTAAAACAGGAGCTTGAGAGCAAAGTTGGAGGGCTCACACTTCCTGATTCCAAAACTTACTACAGAGCTGCAGGAATCAAAACAGTGTGGTCCTGGCACAAAGACAGACGGAGAGACCGATGGACTAGAGTAGGGAGCCCAGAAGTAAACCCTCACACGTATGGCCAGTTGATTTTCAACAAGGACGCCAAAATCATTCAATGAGGGAAGGACTGTCTTTTCAACAGATGGTGCTGGGAAGACTGGACATCAACATGCGAAAGAATGAAGTTGAACCCTTATACCATATACAAAAATTGACTCCAAATGAATCGAAGACATGACACTATAAACCTTTCAGAAGGAAACACGGGAAAATCTTCATGACATTGAATTCGGCAATGATTTCTTGGATATGAGACCAAAAACACAGGCAACAAAATAAAAAATAGACTTCATAAAAATTAAAAATTTTTGTGCTTCAAAGGACACTATCAAGAGAGTGAAAAGACAACTCACAGAATGGGAGAAAATATTTGCAAATCATATATCTGAAAAGAGGTTAACACCTAGAACATGTAAAGAACTCCTAAAACTCAACAACAAAAAACAAACAACCCAACTTGAAAATGGTCAGAGGACTTGAATTTCTCCCAAAAAAATATTCAAATGGCCAGTAATAAACTTAACATCATTAATCATTGGGTAAATGCAAATCAAAACCACAATGAGATACTACTTCATATCCGCTAAGATGGCTATTATTTAAAAAAGAGAAAAATAGAACATAATAAATGTTGACAGATGTGGAGAAATTGAAACCCTTGTGCACTGCTGGTTGGAGTGTAAAATTTTGTAGTTCTCACCTAAAAATGAATGTAAAAAGTTTGGCATTTCCTCAAAACGTTCAACATAGCATTCTCATATGACTCAGCAATTCCATTCCCAGGTACATACCCAAAAGATTTAAAACCAGATACTTGTATGCCAATATTTGCAGCAGCATTATCACAATAGCCAAAATATGGAAACAAATGAAGTCTCCATCAACAGATGAATGGATAAACAAAATGTGGTACATACATACAATGGAGTATTACTTAGTCATAAAAAAGATTGAAGTCCTGATACATGCCACATCATGGATGAATCTTGCTTAATCATGGATGTGTACATGGTTGATACATGCTACAACAAGGATGAACATCATGCTAAGTGAAAAAAGCCAGACACAAAAGGACAAAGATTGTACGATTCCATTTATATAAGGTGTCTGGAAAAGGCAAACTCATAGAGACGGAAAGCAGAACGGTGGTTGCCAGGGGCTGTGGGGAGAGGAGAATTCGGATCTATGGCTTGATGGTTAGAGTTTATGTTTGGGTGATAGTGGTGATAGTTATACAACGTTGTGAATGTACTTAATGCCACTAAATTGTACACTTAAAAATGGTAACATAAAAAAATGGAAAATGGTAAACTTTGTGTTGTGTATATTTCACCATAATTAAGCACAAAACCAAACAGAACAGGAGTGCTGTGCATGGGGGAAGGGCAGATGTCCCCAGGGCAGCCACCCGCCTCAGTACTGCTCATCTCTCTGGATTCCTACTCTTTTTTTCTTTTCCCTCCCTTTGTACCTGCTAAGCCATGCTTTAAAAATAATTTTTTTGTGTTTTATTAGCATTCCTAGGCGTTCTTAACAGAAGTCTTTTTCAGGATGTCTATCATGTTGCCAGAAACGTAAATTTTCCCAACTTATCTTTTTAAATTCCACTGAAAGTCCCATTACTATGTTTTAAAATATATCTATATGTGTGTTTATGTATACATTAAACATCTACTAGAGTTACTGTTAGAATTTTTAAAAATCACACGGTGCTGAAGAGCACATCTGCAGTGCTTCCACTTGTGTTTTAGAAAGAGGGGCAAGTCTGTGTGCATATTCACTACTCTTATACAAATACAATACTTCTGGAATAAAACGTCCATAACTGGTAATGGTTTCCCCTGGAGAGAGAATGGAGGACGGGGGTCTGAGGTAGGAGGAGGTTTTTATATTGCTTGAATATTGTACTCTGTGATGTGTGTTTAATTTTAAAATCCAACTAAATTTTTTGAGAGGGACTCCTACTTCTCATTTCCACTGAAAGTGCATTAAATGATATTTCTTTCCTCACACATTGCAGCTACATGGCGTTAGGGTCATACAACCTTCTGCTACAGGGAGCGCATTTCCCCGCTGACTCTGACCTTCCGGCTTCAGAAAGCTGAGCTGAACTAGGTGCCCAGGGTTTACCAACGTGCCGCCCTGAGACACGTCCTGCTCTCTGGTTCTTGATCTGCCCCCTCGGCAGCGAGCTCTTTCTAAAATCGAACCTTAGATTCTCTCTAGAGAGGAAACAGCTGACCTTGTCAGACTTCTCTGATTCTCTTCGGTGGAACTAGGTATTTCCCCTGAAAGCATAGATCTGAAACTGAACTGAAAGCGACAAATACATTCGGTTTAAAATAATGAGTTTTCGCTAAATAAAAATTAATCATTCAAGTGAGTTTTAACTATAAACACTAGCATAGAAGTATCTTCAAAACGTACAATGAAAAAAGCCAGTTTTAGGACGATAGATACAGTATGGCTATAAGTTAAAAAATTTAAAGCCCAAACTAATGTTTTATAATAAGACTATATCTGTATAACTTGCATAACTTTTTAATGTAGTGTTCATTGTCTAGATTTTGGTAAATACAGAAAAGTTTAGGAAGGGAAGAAAATGAATCATAGCATTTCTTCACAGAAACAATTCCTGTTACCGTAATGGTGGATTTTCTTCCAGCTTCTCTCTCTGTTCTCTCTCTTTCCTTCATCTGTCGTGTGTGTGTGTGTGTGTGTGTGTGTGTGTGTGTGGATATAGATATAGATATACATATTACAATTGTAATTCTGCTTCACTCTCTTAGCATTATATTATAAGCATTCTTCCATGTCAATAAGTATTACCTGAAAACACAGTTTTAAATGTTAAGCAACATTCCTTTATGTGGAAATATCATTTATTTAGCTATCCTACTGTTTTTGCAAATTTACTTTTTTTCTGCTATATAACTTGATGAAAATCCTAACATGAAAAATTCACCTGTGTCTTCAATCATCTCCACTGGAAAATTTTCTAGAAGTGGAATTACTGGGTGAGGGAATGTGAACATTTTAAAGAAAATTTAAGGCCTAATTTCTCTCCAAAAACTGGTTGTGCTAATTGCGTCAATGCACGCTCCCACCAAGCCTAGGGGAATGCCTAATGCCTATTTCCATCATCCCAACACTGGGTACAACTCTCATTAAAATTCTGTACTATACACACATGCACACGCACGCACACACACACACATGATTTAAGTTTCTTTAATTACTGGAGATGTTGAACAAATTTTAGATGTTTACTGATCATCTGTATTTCTACATTTTTAACATTCAACGTTTGTACTTATTCCCCCAAATAACAATGACCACTTCTCTTCTGAGTCCATGCATGTGTGTTTTCTTGCTGCTGAGAGGGCGAGGACACAGAGTCGCCACGAGAGGTCCCCAGCACACAGATTCTGTGGCGATCTGAAGACGGGCTGAAGTCCCGACAAATCAGGTCTTCTTGAGCAGGCAGGGTCATTCATTCTTATTTCAGGGCCTCCTCACAATTGTCCTGGCCTAGTAAGAACAGACAGTGACAAAATTCATTACGGGGGAGTAAGGGGCAGTGGCTCAGGAACTCAGACAGCCGGGCGTGGAACCCTCCTCTGCGCTGCACCCCGACCCTCCTTCACTTCCCTCCCCAGTGTCCTAAGCGTGATTGTTGTTAGACACAGTCACTCGCAAATTTCAAAAGAAATGTAATCACTTGGAGTCTCAGATGCCCTATGGTAATTCATTTGATTGTTCAGTAAATACTTATTACTCTCTTCATGTCTAATCAGAAGAATGATGGGCTTTTTTCAACAAATAGATATTAGCTGCTTTGTGCCACTGTCCTAGGTACCGGGAATAAAATGATGAGAGGAACCAGACACTGTCCCTGGCCTGCAGAGCTCACACCTGGGACATCCACCCTCGCACCTCTAAGCAGACTGTCAGGAGGCTCACCCCAACAGAGGCTTTCACCTTGATGGGAGACATCGTGTGCAGCCCCCACAGGATGTGTCTGCTGCTCTAGGGTCCAGAACACTGTCTCCACGACCCATGATTACATCCTGGGCTGTTCTGAGGATCAAACCTTCTGGCTATGTATCAATACTCTTAGACTGCTTTTTAAAAAATGTTACAGTGTAATATAGATACACCATAGAGAGTCCAAATTACACAGAAATATAAAGAACAGAAACGACAATCACCCATAATCACAATCTTCACAGATAGCTATTTCTTTATTTTGCTGAGGAAGACTAGCCCTGAGCTAACATCTGTGCCAAGCTTCTCTCTTTTTTTTTTTTTTTGGCTTGAGGAAGATTTACTCTGAGCTAACAGCTGTGCCAATCTTCATACCGTTATATACACATACCTTGGAGAAAACATATTGCCAGGGCTGGATCTTAGTCTGTTCAGGCTGCCAGAACAAAGTGTCATAGCCGGGGGGACTTAAGAGACAGAAGTGTACTCTCTCACAGCTCTCGAGGCTGGAAGTTCCATCGATTTGTGTCTCTACGCTTGAGGAGCTCATGGCCCAGTAAACCAGCGACGAGAGCCTGGGGTGAGAAGTGCCCTCTAAGAGAGAGGGAAATTGTAGGTGAGAAGAGGGGACCAGAAAGGCTTCTGGGAAGAAATTACACTCCCATGAAGTCTGAAGAAAGCCAGCATTGAGCTCAGGAGGGAAGGGAATCCAGGCAAGGCCACGGGTGCGAGTGTGTGGGTTGGTAGCAGGATCCTGTTGCAGGGATGCAGGGCTGGCCAGAGCCAGGGGGCCTGCGGGAGAGAGAGGAGGGGTGGGTCCTGAAGGGCCTTGGGTGCTAAGCCAGGAGTTGGAATTTCATCCCAAAAGTCAAAGATTACCCCTGAAGTATTTTAGCAGAAAGTGACCCGATCTGGTGATCGGATGATCCTCTGGCAGCGGGGTAGACAGGGCTTTGGAGGAGGGGCGGGGTTAAGCAACAGGGAGACCAGCTGGGCGGCGTGGCAGATACGGTGGGTGACAGATCTTTTACCATCCTCCAGGTCTTCTGTATTTAAAAGGAAAGAAAAGAAAACTCCGCTAAGTATCTGTAATTTCTATCTTCCCTTGCAACTGCTGTGACAACAGTTCTGGCCAAAGTGGGAATGTGCTGGGAATTTCTAGAAATGTTTTGCTTCCTTGATTAAGATGCTGCCCACCTGGAATGCAGTTTGAGGCCATAGTTTGGTCCTTGATAACTTCCTGAGCTGCTGTGCCAGCTCTGCACTATTAGTTTCTATTTAGTTGAGACACTGTGTTTGGGTTTCTTTTACATGCAGCCAAATACAACCCAGATACAATTGTTATTACGGCAATTCAGGTAAAGAAGTAGTGAGGATCTGAGTTCCCACTCTGAACTGAGTCCGTGAAATGAAGCTGGAGGTGATGGGGTTAGTTCACGGCTACTAAGGAAGCAGAATCAACAGGACTCGGTGACCAGTGGGATATGACCTACTGGGAATTATCCTCAGAAATGACCTCTCTCTTCCTGTGAGTTCCAGGACTGTGCATCCCACTGTCCTCCTACTTATTTTTTCATGCTGGTGTCTCCTTCTCCCAGCATTCCCCCTTCCCTGTTTCAAGAAGCTGGCCAGGCTTTACATGCTGTCATTCAGGGGCATTTGTGTAGCTGGACCTAAAAGAGATGTTGCATAAGGCAGCCCCCTCTCCTGACTTTTATTTTGAAAAATCTCTGTTCATTTTGGGATTGCGTTGGTCATCCAGGGAAAGGCGACTGCCACTCATGGCCTTCAGTGCAAGGAACCAAACCCATAAGAAGAGCTGGAAAAACTTCCTGAGACTAAAATAGGAGATAAGGGGATGTGGTGGCCTCTGGTGTGCCCTGCCTGAGGGAAGGGCCCCACCCAGTGGTGCCAGCCGCTAACCTAGGACTCATCCTTCGCTCGTCACTCGTCCCTCTCCTGTATTGCCTCCTAGACTTAGCCCATCACCTACACCTTTCTATTTTACTCCCTAAACCTCTCCTGCATCCCTCCATTTCATTCCAACTCCATTGCTGTCGGTGTCGCAATCCAATGTACACATCAGGATAGATGTGGAGAGGGCTGATGGCACTCTGAGTTTATTATAACCAGCGTTTCGATATATGCATAGCTTACAGCTGTTAAACATACACAGGTGTTCTGGATGAAGTAATTAGCGAATGCCAAGAATTCTTAGTGATTTCTCAAGGAGCCCTCCCTCGGCCTCTGTTTTGATATTATCATGTTATTGCTGTGCTCGTATATTTTTACCTCGGAGCAGGCAAGGTCTCCTAGGCAATGGCCCCTCCTGCTCCCGATATCGTGTCTCCATCTGTGCCCCCAGGCGACCGTGCCTGTCTTAGGTTGCCCCCCCATGGAGGTCTTACCTGTCATTGGCTGACCAGCCTTCTCACCTCTGGGTCACAGTTTGTTGGCAAGCCTTTTCCAGTGATTATTAACCCTTCCTGCATCAGGGGCGGCTACAATCGCCACAGTCCTAGTCCAAACAAACATTGTTTCAACCTGCGCTGCTGCAATATCCAATATTACCTCACTGTACTCCAGAGAATGATCTTTTCAAATTCGGAATATTTTAGAAAGGATACAAATATTGTAATGGCTTCCCTTTGCTCTTAAAATTGACAAAAATTCTTCACACACCCTCCAAAGACTGGCCTCTGTCTGGGTCACCAGCCGCATCTCTTCCTCCACTCTCCACCCACACTCTGCCAGGGTGTCCTCGCAGCAATGAGAATGCTCCTTCTCTCCTCCAAGACTGTCCCAGCCTCTTCCCCAACCTGGTCAGGTCTGCTTAACTGCGTCACCTGCCTACACATGCAGACACACACACACACACGCACACACACACACACACACATCCTGGCTAACTTTCATTCAACTTCAGGTTTCAGCCCGAATGTCATTTCTGTAGAGAAGCCTTCCCTGACCCCACTCCACCCACAACTAAATCAGGGGCCCTGAGTATCAGTCGTGGGTTTCTTTCACAGCACGTTTTCAATATGTATTTGTGTGAGTAGCTATCTAGCATATGTCCACAGGAGGAGAGACCGTGCTCATCACTGTCTCTCCAGGGTCTAGTAGCATGCATGCTCAGCACGGGCATTTGACAGCTATTTGTTGAATCCAAAAATTAAAGGAGGAAAGAATGGGTCCAAAATGACTATGAGGCTTCTGACACAAGCTGCCAGGTGAACTGTGAAACTCAATTCAGCTTAATTCGGTTTAATTCTTTTATGAATTAAAGTATGAGGACATGTGCATGCAAGATAAAGAGGTTTGGAAGGGGTCCATTCTCCTCCAGCTCTCTCAGGATGCCCACAGGCTTCTCTGTGGATGGAATTTGCCATCCTATTACAGCATGAGCACACCTACGCAGAAATGAGCTGTGTTAATGCAGAATTCTGAAAGGGCAGGCTGAATTTGCTCATTTGGGGGGACTTACCTACACTATTTCTAGATAGGATGGTTCTTCAAGAGGTTATCTTGAGATTTTATGAAGATGACAAAAAACATCGATAATTTAAAAATACATGATATATGGCCTTTGGATGATAATGATGTGTCAGTGTAGGTTCATCTATCGTAACAAATGTACCACCCTGGTGCAGGATGTTGATAATGGGGGAGGCTGTGTGTGTGGGGAGAGGGAGCATATGGGAACTCTCTGTACTTTCTGCTCAATTTTACTGGGAACCTAAAACTGCTCTAAAAAAATAAAGTCTATTGAAGTGAAACTTTCACTGTTTGCAGATGACATGATTTTATATATAGAAAACACCAAAGAATCCATTGGAAAACTAATACAGATTATTAACAACTACAGTAAAGTTTCAGGGTACAAAATCAACTTACAAAAATCAGTTGCTTTTCTATACTCCAATAACGAACTTACAGAAACAGAACTCAAGAATACAACTCCATTTGCAATCTCAACTAAAAGAATAAAGTAACTAGGAATAAATCTAATCAAGGAGGTTGCCGGGGTCCAGCCTCGGCAGAGTCCAGGTTCCCGCGGGAGAGACTGCGTCAGCGAAAAACTGAGGGAGGGGAAAATAAAGAGGACGTGAGACTTGGGTTGGTGTTAGCAACTCCAACTTTAGTGTGCACAAGTGTCGTTTATATATTTTTCAGGATTAGTACAGAAATGGTTCTACAAATATTCTCAGAGAGATAAGGAAGTAAAAAAAAACCGAGCACAAGAATATTTATTAGCATTCTATTCTATAGAGCGTAAGGTTAATGGCAGTCTTCTCCGCAATTGTTGTCCCTAAGCAAAAAAAGATAGGTACCTAGGCATCTGCTGTAATTCATGGTAAAGTTAAATCAAAGAGAGAAGGTCCAGGCCTCTGGACAGGACAGCAGTCCATCTGGTTACATCCTGGTGGAGCCATCCCTGCCTCCCTCAATCATTTACACCATTAGTGTAGATGGTTAATGGGAACAAAAGGCGACTCCAGGGTGTCTTATCCCCAGGGCTATCTGCATTCTCAGCGGGCAGTTAAACATGTTTACTTTTTCGTGCCCTTTAGGGGGTGGAAGCATTCCTTTGTCTTTTAGATTGTAGAGCTAACAGTCCCTTAAGCACACTGCGAGAGAAAGTATCACTTTGTTAGTAAAGTAAAGGGCTGAAAAGCTAAGCTAAACTATGTATCTTCAAGAATAAAAAACAGAAATAAGTATAGACATAACCTTGCTAGAAAGCATGCATATAATTCAGAAAATATCAGGGGTGTAGGCTGGCCATTCTTCACCGAGGGGCATCCCTGCACCCCTTGGCCCTTCTACTCATCAATTATTTATTATTTATTGCTTTTAGGAGAAAACCTCTATAACATTTTAACAGAAAGCAGAAGGTCAAGAATAATATATAGATACTTCTTGATCATCCAATTAACCAGCAAACTTAGAAGGACGATGCATATATATATTTAGACAAAGAACTGGAGGGAGAAGGAAACATTAACCAGATGGAGGCCATAAACCTAATTCGACATCTTATCTGGGCAGGATTCTTTTCTGCTCGTCTCAAAAGGGACTGCGTGCTCCTCCAATAATTAACTGAAAAATATCTTGAAAGTTACCTGCAGGTGGTCACATTCTCTTACTATATCTAATTTTCCCGGGAGGTAGTGCCTCCCAAGCAGCCACCCAAAGGAGTGAAAACTGGAGGTTAAGAAAGGAAAAGGAATGAAGGGCAATTAGAAGCAGCACAGGTTTCAGAACTATGTGAGGGGCTGGCCGGTTATTCTTCACCAAGGGGCGGCCCTGCACCCCTCGGCGTTAATCGGCTGGACCCTGTCAAACAGCCGATCAAAGGATGTAGCCACGGCTCCCAGCAGGAGGTGAAGCACTTATACAATGAAAACTATAAAACATTACTGAAAGAAATAGATAATAACATAAAGAGATGGAAAGAGATTCCATGCACATGGATTGGAAGAACAAACATAGTTAAAATGTCCATTCTACCTAAAGCAATCTACAGATTCAAAGCAATCCCAATCAGAATCCCAATGACATTCTTCACAGAAATAGAGCAAAGAATCCCAAAATTCATATGGGGCAACCAAAGACCCCAAATTGCTAAGGCAATCCTGAGAAAAAAGAACAAAGCTGGAAGTATCACAATCTCTGACTTCAAAATGTACTACAAAGCCATAGTGATCAAAATGGCACGGTACTGGTACAAAGATAGACGCACAGATCAATAGAACAGAACTGAAAGCCCAGAAATAAAACCACACATCTACGGACAGCTAATCTTTGACAAAGGTGCCAAGAACATACAATGGAGAAAAGACAGTCTCTTCAATAAATGGTGTTGAGGGGCTGGCCTGGTGGTGCAGCAGTTAAGAGCACACGTTCGCTTCGGTGGCCCTGGGTTCGCCAGTTCAGATCCCGGGTGCAGACATGGTGCCACTTGGCACGCCATGCTGTGATAGGCATCTCACATATAAAAAAGTAGAGGAAGATGGGCATGGATGTTAGCTCAGGCCCAGTCTTCCTCAGCGAAAAGAGGAGGATTGGCAGCAGTGAGCTCAGGGCTAATCTTCCTCAAATAAATAAATAAATAAATAAATGGTGTTGAGAAAACTGGACAGCCACATGCAAAAGAACGAAGGTAGACCACTATCTCATGCCATATGCAAAAATAAACTCAAAATGGATCAAAGACTTGAAGATAAGTCCTGAAATCATAAAACTCCTGGAAGATAATATAGGTAGTATACTCTTTGACATCGAACTAAAAAGGATCTTTTCGAATACCATGTCTTCTAAGACAAGGGAAACAAAAGAAAAAACAAACAAGTGGGAGTTCATCAGACTAAAGAGCTTCTGCAAGGCAAAAGAAACTAGGATCAAAACAAAAAGACGATCCACCAAATGGGAAAAATATTTGCAAATCTCATATCTGACAAGGGGTTAATCGCCATAATATATAAGGAATTCACACAACTGAACAATGAAAAAACAAACAACCTGATCAAAAATTGGGCAGAGGAGATGAACAGACGTTTTTCCAAAGATATACAGGTGGTCAATAAACACATGAAAAGATGTTCAACATCACTCATCATCAGGGAAATGCAAATCAAAACTACACTAAGATACCACCTTATACCTGTTAAAATGGCTATAATCACTAAGACTAAAAATAACAAATGTTGGAGAGGGCGTGGCGAGAAGGGAACACTCACACACTGCTGGTGGGAATGCGAACTGGTGCAGCCACTATGGAAAACAGCATGGAGATTCCTCAAAAAACTAAAAATAGAATACCATACGACCCAGCTATCTCACTACTGGGTATCTACCCAAATAATTTGAAATCAACAATCCAAAGTAACATATGCACCCCTATGTTCATTGCAGCACTATTCACAATAGCCAAGATGTGGAAACAATCCAAGTGCCCATTGACTGATGATTGGATAAAGAAGATGTGGTATATATATATATATATATATATACACACACACACACACACAATGGAATACTACTCAGCCGGAAAAAAAGACAAATTCATCCCATTTGCAATAACATGGAAGGACCTGGAGGGAATTACGCTAAGCGAAATAAGC